TGACAGATGAAGGGATGGTTGAGGCGGGAATTCAAGTTCATACAATGGTGATAAAGAATGGATTCGGGGTTGCTACGTTTGCTAGCAATTCTTTGATTAATATGTACTTTAAGTCAGGGATGATTGGAGATGCTAGAGCTGTTTTTAATAGCATGACAGATAGGAATGATGTTAGTTGGAACAGCATGGTTGCTGGTCTGGTAACAAATGGGCTCCATTTAGAAACTTTGTATGTGTTTTACCATATGAGACTTGCTGGTGTAAAGCTCACCAAGATGGTTTTTGCCCCTGTTATTAAGCTGTGTGGTAATATTAAGGAATTGGGTTTTTCCAGGCAGCTTCATTGTCAGGTTTTAAAGAGCGGGTTTGAATATGATAAGAATATTAGGACTACACTGATGCTTGCTTACAGCAAGTGTGGGGAAATGGATAATGCTTTCAAGATATTTTCTGTGATGAGTGATGAAGTTCGAAATGTGGTGTCATGGACAGCCATGATTAGTGGGTATTTGCAGAATGGCATGGCAGAACAAGCTGTTAACCTGTTTTGCCAAATGAGTAGGGAAGGTATTAAACCAAATGATTTTACCTACTCTACTATACTTACGGCTCAACCTGGTGTTTCTCCTTTTGAGATGCACGCGCAAGCCATCAAAAGAAATTACGTCAAGTCACCTTCTGTTGGAACTGCACTTTTAGATGCTTATGTCAAACGAGGGAATATTGATGAAGCTTCAAAGGTTTTCCAAAGAATAGAAGAGAAGGACATCGTGGCATGGTCGGCAATGATTTGTGGATATGCTCAAATAGGAGAAACTGAGGGTGCTGTTAGGATATTTGTACAAATGGCAAAGGAGGGGATTAAACCGAATGAGTATACATTCTCTGGTATCATTAACGCATGTGCAGCTCCTACCGCAGGAGTAGAACAAGGGAAACAGCTCCATGCCTGGTCAATTAAATCAAGATTCAATAATGCTCTGTGTGTTAGTAGTGCTCTTCTTACCATGTATTCAAAGAGAGGGGACATTGAAAGTGCATTTGAAGTTTTCAAGAGGCAAAGGGAGAGGGATTTAGTGTCATGGAATTCTATTATCTCTGGATATGCACAACATGGCTATGGAAGGAAAGCTCTAGAAGTATTTGAGGAGATGCAGAGGCAAAACTTGGAGATGGATGGTGTAACATTCATCGGAGTCATTTCTGCCTGCACGCATGCTGGACTCGCAAAAGAAGGTCAAAGATATTTCGATATAATGGTTAAAGATCACCATATTGAGCCTAGAATGGAGCACTATTCTTGCATGGTTGATCTATATGGCCGGGCTGGAATGCTTGTAAAAGCCATGGAAATCATAAATGAGATGCCATTTCCAGCAGGTGCTAATGTGTGGCGAACTCTCTTGGCTGCTTCCTGTATTCACCGTAATCTAGAGGTGGGGAAACTTGCAGCAGACAAGCTCATTTCTCTGCAGCCACAAAATCCAGCTTCATATGTCCTGCTAACAAATATGTATGCTTCGGTAGGAAACTGGAAAGAAAGAGCCAAAGTAAGGAAATTGATGGAGGAGAAGAAAGTGAAAAAAGTAGCAGGGTACAGCTGGATTGAGGTGAAGAACAAGACCTACACATTCTTGGCTGGTGATGTTTCTCACCCGCTTTCTAATCAAATTTATGCAAGACTTGAAGAGCTGAGTTGCCAATTGAAGGGTGCTGGTTATCAGCCTGATACTAGCTATGTGTTTCAGGATGTTGATGATGAACACAAGGAGGCTATTCTCTCTCAACATAGTGAGAGGCTTGCCATTGCTTTTGGATTAATTGGCACTCCTCCTCGAACTCCTCTCCAAATTGTTAAGAACCTGAGAGTCTGTGGAGATTGCCACACTGTTATTAAGTTAATATCAATTCTAGAAGGCCGGGACATTGTTGTCAGGGATTCAAATCGATTCCATCACTTTAAGGGGGGTATATGCTCTTGTGGTGATTATTGGTGACATCATATGGGGTGTTGGTAGCCTCCATTGACAGGCTGAGGTCAACAGTACCATCACCTAGGCCAAGGAGCCACATTAACTTTATACAATGCATAAACTTTCAGAAAAACAGAAACATAGGGTTGCATAGTGATTTTTATTCTCTACTTGACAGCTTTGTGGTAAAAAGGCTTTGAAGAAGAATTTGACAGCTGAATTCATTTGAGCATGTTCTTTCAAGAGTAAGAGTGTGGTGTGATTGCTGCTCACGTCAAAGTAAACTGGTGGCTTGATCAATTTTGAAAAGAACATCCACGGATGGTGATTATATTGGCAGAGAAGTAGAGAATGCCGATTTAGGATTCACTTTGCGTAAAAGAGATCCCCACACTAACTGGGCAATTGGCTCCATAAAGTCCGGTGCGTTTTACTGTTCTAGCAACCAAAGTCCCTTAGCATGTGGCAGTCAACTTTGGCTGGCCAGTCATCATTCAATAATCTCTTTAAGCTTTATTGTCATTCATGCAATACATTCAAGAACATGCGAGCTTATCTAAATCTACATGTCTGCACATAATAGTTTATTACGGTTAAATTTGCCTGTGGCGTTCATGGTTGTTTCTTGTTAATAAATTTTTTTACCATGGCTATAGAAATTTGCAATGGCCATCATTTGTAATGTATTTGCAATGTTGAACGGTTATTTTCAGGGATGATTATGGATACTCGCGGGCTAAATTTCTTGATATTTATATCTTGTTATCTACAGGTAAGAAGTTTAGATATTTATAAATTATTTATTAATTAATAAAGAATAAAATAGTATATATTTGAAGTGTGTGTGATATATATACATATATATATACACACACTCTCTTCAAAATTAAAATACTCTACAAATATATTTATATAATATAAATATATATTTCGGTTAGATTTGGATAGGTTTCAGGTTAAATTTGACAATATAAATATTTTATTTATTATTTGTTGGGTTAAGAAAATACTTACTTATTCAGTTATTTCTATTTATTTCAGAGAAAAAAAAAAGGATATGATGCAACAAATAGATTCATTCATTTATTTCAATTACAATTTTTCGTCACATTCTGGTATTTAAGCCTTCCCTGAACATCGTAATTCCCTTCTTGCAGGAAACAAAAACTGAAGGCCTGAGTTGAGCTGCAAAACTGAAAGGATCATGAAACAACTGTGTTGTGTCCAATGAGCTAACCAAAGGAGTTTGATGGATGTTGAGATTAGGCGACAATTTACAGAAAGGTTAAAATTTTGCCAATCTTATTATCCTGATTGAAACGTGTAATCTTCTTGTTGGAAGTTTCCTTGAATTAGAAGAATACCAGTACATTCAGTCATGCTATGCTGCGGACAGCCTCTCTTTTTTTCTTTTTTTCTTTTTCTAAAACTTAAAAAAATTGTTGAGTAGAAAGTTTTTTTTTTAGAATTATTATTCAGTTAGACAGTTTGATGTTGAAATTTAATAGTTTGATGTTGAAATCTAATAACTTGATTTTTTATTCAACTTAAATTTTAAATTAAATTATATAAAAATTAATTTAAAATAAATTATTTAATTTAATAAATTCAAAAATAACTTTAAAAACTCTAAGATGAAATTTTTTTATTGTGACAATGTTAGATTTAATTGATCTTAATCACTCTATGACTTGAGTCATGGATTTTAATAATTTTAATATTTTTTTTATTTTTATAAATTATTTTTATTTAATTTTATAATAATATTAGATGCTTTCAAAATGTTGCATCAATCCTAAAAAAATTATTTGAAATCATAATAACTTCATAAAAAATAAAAATATAAAATATAAAATGCATTTCTCAACTAATCTAATAATAAATAAGAATAAAATTAAAAAAAATAATATCAGATTTGATTAGTAAAACTACTAAATTTATGAATTAGATAATTCAAATTAACATGTTAAAATAGCAAAAAAAATTTAAAATTAATTATATAAAAATAAATTAAAATAAATTATCTATACTGTAATGTTAAGATATTTTTGTTTAATTAAATTTTTAAAAATTAAGCTATACCTCAATGCTAAGATATTTTTCTAACACTAACTTAATATTATGATTTTTTTATACTACACTAATTATATAAAGATAAATTAAAATAAATCATTTATTATAAATCCCCTTAAACAATTTTATAAGAATTGGATTAAAAATAATAAAAAAGCACAACAGCTAGATGTAGCCATGTTCCTTGTGGTCATTGAGTGCAGAAAAATGAGAGATTTATCTAGTAGCAATAATGCAAAGGAAACTTGGTAGTCAAAGGAAAGCATCAAGAAAAGGCATTTTGCTTATGCTTGTAAATTTTAACTGCAGAAGGCTTTCACATTGGTGATGACATCATATATTACTTTACTACCTATCTTGTGCTTTATCAAAAAATAAAATTTTTAAAACTAACTAAATATAAAAATATGTAATTTTAATATTCTACATTATTAAAAAAAATGGTGGCATGTGAAATAAAAAATGCATTAATTATTTAAATAAAAAAAAGCACAACAGCTAGTAGCAATAATGCAAAGGAAAATGAGAGATTTCTCTAGTAGCAATAATGCAAAGGAAACTTGGTAGTCAAAGGAAAGCATCAAGAAAAGGCATTTTGCTTATGCTTGTAAATTTTAACTGCAGAAGGCTTTCACATTGGTGATGACATCATATATTACTTTACTACCTATCTTGTGCTTTATATATTACTTTACTACCTATTTAAATTTTAGCCAAGTTACATGTGAAATAAAAAATGCATTAATTATTTATGTCTTTTTTATTTGAAAATAGTAAAAAAAAACCTATTAAAAAACTCTTATATATATGTATATGTATATGTATGTATGTATGTATGTATGTATTGGCTGCATACCCATCCTTGGATGTCAGAATCTGGAGCGCTTTCAGACCATGTATTCTAACTTTATGTGTAGTCGGATATCCTGGCTCCATGTGGAAGCTAGAAAAGAGGCAAAGGGGGAGTCTTTACCCTAAGACATCTCCATCTCCATGGATTTGAGTTCAGCGGGTGCCTCTGCAGCTCTAACAGAGTCGGATAATACAAATGCAGCTTTAACCAGGCCTGGCCATGGCAACTTACTGTCCCTTTGCAGGAAATATGGACTGCTCTTTGAAAATTATCAATTCAAATTTTATAAATTTATATATTTATTAATTTTAAACTGTAAAATTAATCTAGATATATACAATCTGATTTAAATATTTATTTAAATCTAATGACCTTAAAAAAAAAAAAAAAAACATGTTTGCTGCCACCGCAGAATCATGCAGACAGAGACATTGTTGATGTCCCAGAAATTATAATCAGCTGACTTCCGCTAATTTGTTGACAAGGACGGCGAAGAGTTAAGCACAGAACGCCAAACGACCTCCTTACCAAACAGGGCCTTGATATGTCCAGCCTATGACCTTGAAATAATCTGGGGAACACCCAATCCAAATCCCACTAAAACAATAAGATAATTAAAATAAATAACAGCACATAGCTTTTTTTCTTTCATCGGTGGTCCCCACTTGGCTGATTCCTTGAGCCCCGGTCAATCTGTAGCCGTGGCGATAAAAAACCTTATCCAAACTCGTCAACTCCATTTCAATTCTGCAGTATTCTCCGAGGTTGTTAAAAACTTTTTTTAACGTATTATTAAATATATAATATAAATTTAAGAAATTATAATTAAAAATTATTAAATTATAAGTAAAATATTATAATTAAATTACAGGATCTACTTGAGTAATAAATAATAATATAATACAATTAAAATAAAAATAAAATAAATAATACAAATATCCAAATACTTTAAAATATATAATTCAAATAAAAATTCCCTTAAAATATATAATTCGAATAAAAATTCATACTTTTCTATAAAATTTCAATAATTAAAAGTTAACAAACTTAAAATTTTCTATAAAACTTCAATAATTAAAAGTTAACAAACTTAAAATAAACAATCTATTAGTATGTCATGTAAACTAAACACACCCTCATTATTTTTATCTTCCTCATTATTCCTAAAACATTCATCAAAATCATTATCATCTAAAGGATTGTTATTGATATTATTATTACCGGCAACGATATTATGAATATTAGTGCTACTACTAGTACTAACATTAACACCAATATAGTCAACAATATTTAATTCCAAACTCCTTGAATTATCTGGATTCACATCATTCTGAATCTCTAAATTATCTTTAGTTCCATGACACTCCATTCTAGTATCATTAAGATTTTTTTATAATCTCTTTACCATTTTTCCTTTGTGTTGCACTATTGATAACACTAAGCAAATCAAAGTTATTAACCTTCATGTTTTTCACTATTAGTTATCCAATCATCATTAGATAGAAGATGATCAAAATCTTCACCGAACTTTGACTTGGTTATCATTTTTTTCATGAGATATTTTTTATTGAAAACTATTCTAATGAGATAAAAAAAAAAAACAACGGTTGAATTTAAGAAAAGACAATGTAGAGAAAATTATTAGTAGAGGAAAAAAAGGCAACTACTGAATTACAAAATCCAAGCTAAAACCATAATTTGATGAATTTAATCAATAAAGTTCTTGTTGCCAAAATAACAATGAACTTCACAAAAGAAAAGCATATTTTCACCTAAATAGTGAATCCTAGCAATGAACAAAACATGACTAAAATTTTTTGTAAGAATTTACAATCATCCATCCTTGATAATAAGCTGAAATCCTAGCAATCAAATTCTTAACTTACCACAAAAGCAATTTCAAGATTGCACATCATAAATTTTGTTCTCTATAAGTTATTAATCAGTAGTAAAAAATTATTACTTGCCATACTTATCTAAATTCCCTTCACATTCAATTTTCTCAAAATTACATGCAAAATATAAAAAATCTTAAAACATTGAGAACCTAAACTAAATGCCTAAGTTATTTCAACCATGATAGTGAAAAATATTACTTCAGAACATCAATTTCAATTATTTATTCCTTGCATTAAAAAGCTTATTTACAATCAACTAGAAATTATCAACTCTACAATCTACACTAACAAGAAAAAAGATGGCTAAATAAAATTAAACATAGGTAATCTAAAAAACATAAAATTCATATAATTAAGAAACTTAGTTAAATATAATGGGAAATAACCTTGTCAAGAGTGCAATCTTGGCATACTTCATTGTTTATGTAGACTCTACAATACCAAAATCAGCAAGTAAGATCAAACAGAGCATATGTGAAAATTATAAGAAATTACAACACATAGAAGCACAACATCATTAGACAGCTTCAATCCATGGTTAATTAGAAATTACAAGAAACATAGAAGGACTGGAAGCGCCACTCCCCCTTTGAGAAAATTAGAAATTACAAGAAACATCAAAAAATCTATTTTGTTGTTCTTTGCATCATGGATTTAATAGAACAAAGCAAACCAATTAATAGTAAAAGATAAACATAGATTCACAAAAGGCCTAGATAATTTTTTTTTATCTCTAATCACCATCATTAAACAGAAAAAACAAAGCTTGGGATTGAGAATAAATTATTACCTTCTTCTCGCTAAGAACACTCCAGATTCAGAAAAAGTAATTTCTTAATCTACTAGGTAAAGAGAAAATGGAAAAGAAAAAAGAAAAAAAGAAAAGAAAAAGGGAGTTGGGGAGAGAGGGACGAAGGGTGGCATTACTAGAGTGGAGTGTCAGTCACAGCCTCACAAATGGGATAGGGAATGAGAAAAAAGGATGCTAAATTAGCATAAAAATATTTGTTTAAATTTTACGTAAAAATATAAAAATATTAATTTTTTATTGTTTTTACGAGTTAACTTGTTTTTATATAAATTTGATCAAATTTAACTAATTTTATTAGTTTTTAAATTTTAACCCTAATTTTACATATTTCATGTGTTTTTGCTTGTAAAATCGAATGACTTTCAGTGTCAAAACATATTTTTAACAACCCCCTCATCCATAACTTTTCACTCCTACACGTCACCTGTACCCACTCATTAATCGCCAGCTATCTCTTATCACAACAAAGTGTCACCATCAGGACTGATATCCAAATCCCCATCACATCATGTTGCCACCTCATCCTCATCCATAATCTATCTGGTCCCTTCCACTCACCGTAGGATATCTTGATTCCGACCCTTATGAAATTCTAACGGAGGATTACTCTATTTCTTGCTCCCGAAGTTACCAGACAAACCTTCCTGTTTGCACGTGATAAATCTTTCTTTTTAAATAAAAAAACCAACTCCTCGCCGCTACAAAGACAACGTGCATTTGCCGCGTTATCAATCTTCTATTATCCGGTTTGTTTTGTGCTATGAAAGAATATATATATATATATATAATTTTTATTTTTTATTAATTTTTTTAGATATTTTTCAATTTATTGGTATCAAAATTAAATCTATGAATAAAATTATTTTAATATATTTTCAAATAAAAAATATTTTAAAAAAAACTATTACATAACTATCAAATAAATTATAAGTTTACTTTTAAATTAATATTACATTTAAAATAGTACAATTGTGAGGGTATTATTTAAAATAATTTTCATCTAGAAATATCAAATTAGTAATTATTTAAATATTTTTGTTAATAATATTAACATTCTAAGTATTAAAATCATCTAATAATTTTTTTCAGAAGTATTCACCTTTGAAAATGTATTTTAAAAGCCGATACATAAATCTCATCTAATTACGATATTAAGAAATTATTTTCACGTGAATTAATGTATTTTTGCTATATCCAAGATTTAAAATAAAAATGAAGTTGAAAAACCGCATAAAAATGTTCAAAATTGGCATATTATTATTATTAGAAATAATTATTATTCTCTATCTAAAAAATCGTCTTCAACCATAACCATCACGTACGAACAAACAAACGGCCGTTGACGGCGTCGTCGAAGCCTACACGCCTGCATTTCACAACGTTGACTGACGGTGACGGTGTGAAGGAGTTCGTAGGTAGGGGATTGACAGTCCGGAGGTACGGACCGAACCACTTGTTTTGCATGTAACGGTTTTTTCTCCAAGGAGGCAAGGAGAGTTCTCTGCTCTTCAAAGATCTCTTAGCGGCGTCACTTATGCTCCTCACGATCGTCTTCAAATCCTCACTTTTGCCTGCGAAAACACGAGGAAGATGGTGCAGAAGCTTCAAGTACTGGCTCGTAGGCCTCGCGATCTCGAATTGAGAAGCGAAATCGAGATCCACTACGTAACGGTTCTGCAATGCGGAGGATTTCGATTGCACCACCACGTCGATAAACTCGTAGCTGCCGGCGGTCAAGCCGCCACCAGAGGACTCCCATTTAGTCTTGCAGATCGCTGCATTGTGACCTAATTCTCTCAAAAACAACATCACTTTGCGCAGCAAAACAGGTCTTTGATGATTTCTCAAACACGAAAACTCCTCCATCGCTTTCGAAACATGAGCGAACAATAAATTATCGTTACTGCTTCTTATCATGTCTACGACGAAGTCGGTACAGTCGGCGACTAAGTCGACACTCTTTGAATCTGATCCATGACCATTAGTCGAAGCGTGAGCAAAACCGGAGTCTTCCTCTTCAAGAAAGCCGTGAACGAGGTCAGACAGGCAAGGTGAGTCGTCATGATCAGCTGAGTGCTCACTCCCGCTACTAAAGCAACTGAGTTGACAACCAATGAGTCGAGCTTTAGCTTTGTCGTCGAGGGGGTCAGTAACTCGTTTCGCCCTTGCAAAACCTGACATGTTTTTCAATTTTATTGATTTTTGTTTTAAAAGGGTTTTTACCCTTTTGGTTTTTCAAGAAGTAATTGTAGTATTATTTACATAAGAAGAAGAAGAAGAAGAAGAAGAAGAAGAAGAAGAAGAAGAAGAAGAAGAAGAAGAAGAAGAAGAAGAAGAAGAAGAAGAAGAAGAAGAAATGTAGGGTTTGAGAAGCTAAGCATAAATTTAAGATTTAAGACAGCTGGGAACATGGAGGAGGAGGAAGGAACATGTGATAAGGTTTATAAAGAGAAAAGGAAGAGATAATTTATTAAGAAGATAAGATAAAATAGTTTTGAAGAAGGAATTTTCCTGGGGATATTCGGTGGAAGTGTAAGTAAAATATTGGGGTTGGTACCTTTTTTCATCTTCAAAAATGGTTTTGAGTTATGGGAGAGGATATGATACGACTAGGGAGGAGAGTTTGGCAAAGCATATCCAACGGCACCTAGGGTAGTTTATTCGAGTTGCACACAGTAGTTGAAATGGATTGGAGGGATATGATAATTTCCCGTGGTTGGTGGGGTCATAGAGGCTGCCATGAGTTTGGCACGTGAGTTAATGGAGAGGGTCTAGGATAAGCCTGCCTCTTCAGGGTAGGGAAGGGCGAGGTGGGGGGCGGGCACGTGATTAACAATGTGATTATATGCACATGTAGGATTTGGTAATAATTAATTAGGGTTTAAGAAAGAAAGAATGGTGTGAATGATTATGGCTGTAACAAGACATTGAGAAAGATGTGCAATTTTTTATGTCAATGAAGAGGCATTTTTTTCTGATGACTTTTCAGTGTTGAAAGTTGAAACATCTGATCTGTTTGTCATTATTGCTGCAGGAATCCAATGTTTTCTGTAAGATTTCAAGATTGCTGCAACTGCTGAAAGTTGCGGGCAGGACATCAAGGTTCCAGAGATTATGTTGTGATTGATGGATCGCCCTCAGTTGATACCGGGGACCAAGCTGCCTAAATATTCAGACAAGGTGCTGTAATATCTTGCTGCAGATTACTACTAGAATTCGAATTGGTAGACCAAATCACACTTTAAACATTTCATTTCTTTCTTTTCTACCTTGTTCTGTCATCAACTTCAAGAATTACACATGATTTATAGATTAACTTGATAGTGTCTGAGTAAAAATAGCATTTGGTCCTTGGTCTTCCTGTGCAGCTTTGGGTTCAAAACACTTGACTGTTGGAGCAATTCTTGCTATTGGTTTCCTGTAGTGAGAGAAGTGTTTAGTAGTTTTCATTTCAGTAATGTCACCTTGAGGCTTTCTTTTTGTTTCTTTTTCTTTCCTTCAGTAATGAATTCTTAGGCAACAACCTAAAAGACTGATCACTTTTGTGTCTGCGTACATGCCTGAAGCTGTTGTGCTGCTTCTTCACCGATTATTGAGCCTGAATTAAAAATTGAAAGCTAACATCTTTGACAGTTGGATCAATCACTATCATTCCTTCACTTCCACCTAGTTGTACTCGTACAGCCTTTTGTCTTCGAATAGGAATCTCAGTTGTGCGCATGACCACAATCTTCCCTTTAAACTTGGCAGCGTCTAGAGTATTATCCTGGCAAAAGCAGGGAGTCTTACCCTACGTGCTATACCCTTGAAAGGGAGAATCTTACCCTCAGACATCTTCTCTATTACGGATTTCAGTTAAGCAGGTGTTTCTACAACTTTAAGCAGTCGGACAATATAAAAATGCAGTTCAAATTGTTGGCCTTGCTATGGTGACTAACTCTTCGATAAACAAATATTATTTCCGCCACTAGTCACGCCGGAGAGAAATTGGCATGACCGGGATTATAATATAGTTGACTGATAACGGAGTTGTTGCTTTGATTGCTACATGATTTTGCAGACCAACTCCGGTAACGTCTAGTTACAGTACTATTGACTGTGTTTTGGGAATTCGAACTCATCAGGTCTCAAGTTATCCAGCAAGGACTAGGAGTAAGTTTTCTCATTTAATTTCACTGCACATGAACCAGCTTGATGCAACTCTGGTTGAAAATATTTAAACTTGATACGTCCTAGAAGATTCATTTTAAGCTTCTTAGATTGGAAGAAGTGCACCTTTAGGCATTACCGGATTGACAAATTGAAGTCAGTTTGGTAAAACGAAAAGTACTTCGATATTGGACAATTTGTTTCATAGAATTCATGCAAAGAGGAGAATTTCATGAGTTTCAATAGTCTGAGACTACTGAAAAATTCATGCATAGAGGAGAATTTCATGATCCTTTAACACAAGAATTTTCTTTAAACTGATTATAAGTTCCAATAAATCCTATCGTCTGTGATAGGATTTCTCAAATACACTGCCCTGGTGAACTCAATATATGATAGTATCAGCTATAAAACTCTTGTCTCTACAATGAAAGCACTTTAAGAGCAACCGGACTCCTAACCTTGTGAACACCATTGCTCCATGTCAGATCTCCAAGCACAAAATTTCCATCACTAGTCTTCAGAAGCTTAAAATCTATCCTGAAAGACATATTTTCGCCTGTCTTTGTGAACTTGAGTTGGGCAGGTGTAACTGTAACTTGAACACCAGCTGGATAATCAGCCTTCGCAACATAAGCAGTCGGTCTTGTACCATAATACGTAACTGTTCTATAAACTGATATGCTTCCTTTCATGTTCCACACACCAATCGAGTGGTAGTTGAAGTTAGATGATTGTTTAGTTGGATTTTGGCAATAAGTTGTCTGTCCTGTGAGGTTTTTCAATTTTACAGGGCTTGCACCAATACTGCAGAGAAAATCAATGACGTCATTGGAATCAAAATCGTAAATTAGTCCTGGGTTCAATGCTGCTAGTGAATTTATGTGTCCGGATCCGAAGTCAAAAGGTGGAGCCTGGGTGTCATTTGGATCTCTCCCAATCAGTTTCCGAGTGTTATCCATGACTATAGCTGTAACAATGAATTCAAATAATAGAAGTCAGATATGCAATATATTTGTTAGTGAATTGAAATTCTTCTGGTAACTTTTCAGCGCTGCAACATCTAACCGGTTGTCATTATTGCAGACTTTATAGCTGCTGGTCTCCAAGGAGGTCTGTAAGATTTTAAGATTGCTGCAACCGCTGAAACATGTGGGCAAGACATGGAGGTTCCAGAGATTATGTTGTAGTTGACTCGTCGCCCACCCGGGCCAACAGTTGATACTGGAGACCATGCTGCCAATACATTCAAACCAGGTGCTGTAATATCTGGCTGCTATTAGAATATAAATAGCTAGACAAAATCATACTTTAAAAGTCACACATGATGTATAGATTACCTTGATAATATCCAGAGTAATAACATTTGGTCCTTGGGAAGAAAATACGGTCACTTTTGGTGCAGGTTTTGTGTTCAAAACTCTCTGTGTGGAGCAATTCTTGCAATTGGCATGCTTAGTTCTATTAGATTGAAGAGCTTTCATTTCGATAATGACATTTCTTTACTTCAGTTTTTCTTTCCTTCAATCATGAATTCTTTAGGCAACAAGCTAAAGAACTCACCTTTGTGTCTGCATATATGCCCGAAGCTGCTGTGCTTCTTCTTGAAACTATTAATGTGCCTGGTATTGCAAACTGAAAGCCAACTTCTTTGATAATTGGATCGATGAATATCATTCAGACACCTCCACCTAGTTGTACAGCTACGGCCTTTTGTCTTCGAACATCGGTGAGAACCTCAATTGTACACATCACAATCTTCGCAGGGTCTACAGTATTGTCCTTGCAAAAGCGGACAGACAAAGAATAGATTAAAAACCAATCCTCTAAGAACAAGCTCAAGCTATAGATCTTGGATCTGGGGATGTATCAATCTGGGAAACTTTATTTTACTTTCACTATCAAGTCGGAAGGTATTATCGACATGGAATATCATGGTGAAAAAAATTTTATGCTTGAAACTCCTAAATCCACTATTATTTGCTCTTAATTTTATTAATTCAATTAGATAAATTTGAACTCGTAAGCATTTAATTATAAAAACTTAACACCATGTCAAATAAGCATTACGATACAAAAGTTTAAGCTAAAAAAGCTTAAGCTGTTTGGGCTTCTAACCGAATTCATCTTAGGAACTGGTTGGTTGGAAAAACTGGTCTAAAAATTAGATAAAGAAGATTTTTATAAAGAACATGGAGATTAGTTCATGAGGTAATCAGCGAATGAAGGATTCGGTGTTGCATCGAAAGAGTCACTGCCAGAATATTTTTGCTCACCAACATCTGAGCTACAGGAAGAAAAAATATATGATACGTGACTTGTATAGTAGTTGAGATAATGTTTCCATGAATATTGAAGTTTGACTTTTCATGAAGATTTGCAGCTCTAGCAGTATGTCTTCGCTGGAACACCCAGTGCAGCTGCATCACCTCCAGATATCAAACCGTATGGGGTTTCCATTTTCAGAGGGTTCAACGAAAAACCCTGAAAGCACATCAATTTTTAGAGAGTCCTCATTAATACATATATTTCTTGACTCTCATCTTTTGTTTTTTTACCACAGGGAAACGAGATAAAAATCAGGATGGCATTAGTAAAAATCACCTTCAAAACTTTGTGAATTTCCAAGATAAATGTTTGAGTCAAATTCCCAGTCCAGAGAACTAGCAGCGACAGTGAGTATCCAAGGAACAACATTAGCTCCAGTCCTTGGGGAGAATGAGTTCCCTGCTGAA